TGGCAAAGGCATCTTCACAGTGTACAAGAAGATTATTCCATAACATTCTTACAGTTGTTTTTTGGCACATATAGATAAGATGCACACTGGTCTTGTGTTCTCTGATAAGTCCAGGGCCCCTTTAGAGGAGGGGTCAGGTCTGTCGGGTCCTGAGTACATACCTCATGTGTGTCACATGCTCAAAATTCACCCATATTTGTCAGGACTTATGTTAAAGTGACATACACACAGCCCAACATGTTTAAACAATGAAAGAGAGTGGATGAGCTCAGACAACTGAAGAATCCCAGGGGGATATCCAGCTTCAGAAAAAGTGATCACATGATGCCGTGGGGCATAGCCCCTCATGTGCTCTCCCAGCTCAGTATTTTTCTCTGTTAGCTTCATTCTCAAGCTGTCTTTCCCCACATGGGAGCAAACATGTGTTGGTAGAAGCTTACAGGCTTAAGTCAGACTCTGTACTTCTTCAGTAGAAAGAATGAATTTCCCACTTAATAATTCCTGCAGGAATCCTGGTGAGACGATGATTGACCAACTAAAACCAAGCATTAATTTCTCGACCAATTGCTATGATGTAAGGGATAGATTTTTCTATTCTGGTTGAGAGCATGTGGCTGATTCTTGTGTGTGCAAGTGGAGCTTACTCTACCTAAATCACATGAACTAAGAACATGTGATGGTCTGGATGAGAAATGTCTCCCATAGGCTCATACATTTAAACACTTTGGTCCCAAGTTGGTGGTCTTTTGGGGAAAAGTTACAAAACTTTTAGAAGGTGGAGACTTGCTGGAGGAATTATATCACTGAAGAAAATTTCCTGCTCTCTCTCTCCTCTCTCTCTCTCTCTCTCCCTCCCTCCCTTCCTCCCTCCCTCCCTCCTCCTCCTTCTTCCTGTTTTTCCTGGTCTGCTTTCTATTGCTGTGATAAATTTCATGAGCAAAAGCATCTTGAGGAGGAAAGAGTTTATTTGGCTTGCTCTTCTGTATCACAGTCCATCATTGAGGGAAGTCAAGATAGGAACTAAAGGCAAGTACTTGAAGGCAGGAACTGAAGCAGAGGCTATTCTATATCAATCATTAATCAAGACAACACCCTAACAGACTTGCCTATAGGCCAGTCTGCTGGAGGCATTTTCTCAACTGAAATCCTTCCTTCCCAGATGATTCTAGTGTCAAGTAGACAAAAAAAAAAAAAAAAAAAAAAAAAAAAAACTAACCAGCACATTACATATGGATGAAGTGTGATCATCCAGCTTCCTACTCCTGCTGCCATGTCCACCTGTTGTCATGTCTTCCTGCCATGATGACTTCTATCCCCCTAAACTGTAAGCCAAAATAAACCTTTTTCCTCTAAGTTACTTTTTGTTATGGTATTTTATTATAGCGACAGAAAAGTAATTAATATGAACTAGATCACACCACTGGTAAAGTACTTATTGCTCAAACATATACACCCAAGTTTGAATCCTCAGCATCCATGTAAAAAGCCAGGTGTTATAGTATGTACCTGCAACCCTATTGGTGGGGATGCAGTGACAGGAGTATCCTTGGAGCTTAGTGCCAGCTTGTTTTCACAACTCAATGAAGTTCCAAGTTCAGTAAAAGACCAGTCTCAAAAAGTCATGTGGCATGAAAGAGGAAGACATGTAACATTGTACACACATGTATACACACACACACACACACCTACACACACACACACACACATACACACAAAACAAAGGAGGTGAGACTCTGTGGAGGAAATTTGGCTGCTATGACCTGAAGAAGGTTGAGAAATACCAAGAATGAAAGAATGACAGATGTCCATAACAGAGTCGGGTTTGGGTGATCACATATTCCAATAAAACAAATTAACTCTTCTTTATTCATACCAGTTTTGACAACCATCTGCTCAAAGAAATGAATGTTCTCATCTTGGCTGACTGATTTGGCTGTAAGATTGAGTTTACATAACAATTCAATCCGATCGTCAGGGAGTAGGGCATTTGGGTAGGGCACATCGGAGATAAACATGAATATTGGCACCTTAATTAGTTTCTTTTATAAGGAGAAAGAGACAGAGAAAGGGGTAGGAAGAGGGAAGAGGAGGAAGAGGATGAGGAAGAGAAATTCATGAATGATGAATGGATGGAAGAGATAAATGAGTGAAAAGGAATTTACTTATTTGGTTATGCCCATTTGTCATATTAAAATCCTGTCCTAATGGATCCAGTGATAAAGACAATTCAAAGTAGTTTCAATTAATAGAAAACTCTGTTTACCCATCTCATATGTATTTGTGAACATACTCATGGTGTGTGCTACAGTAATAACTTTGACAGGCAAGTCTATCATTGGTTGTTAAAATTAGTGATCAAATGTTGTAACAGAATGGCTTATCGGGATAATCTAAAATCTCTATCTCCCAGAAGATTTCATTAATTACATAGAGGAAAACATCCCAGCTGGCATCATTTTATTCAGAGGATCATGACTAAGGCTGACAGTAGTGCGATCTGTTGACGTCATTCTTCCTAATATAGTACTATCCTGAGATGGATACACCATTTCCGGATTGTTTTTCCAAACAATGAAAAACCTCACTTGACTTGGAAAATGCATCCGAAAAACTCAAATTGGAAAGCAGTCTGCAAAATAGCTAGCCAGTCCTGGAGAATTGTTCCCAAGTTGGAAGGGGACGTGGCAGCTAAATCAGTATGATGTCTTGGATTGAATTCTGCAATAATGAAAAATTACATTTTAATCCTTGCACTCTCCTGTCAATATTACCATAAACTACGGTAGCTTATAAACAACAGAATTTATGCCCTACAGTTATACAAACTTGGAAGTCTAAGACCAAGGCCCTGTCAGTGAGGGCCTGCTTGATAGCCCACAGAACAGAATGGTGTCTCTTCGCTGTGTCCTCAACTGATAGCAGCAGCAAGGCAGATCTCTGGACCACCAAACTCAGCTCTCAGAAACCCAATAGTCTGACATCCAGAATCCTCCCAGGAGCAGCAGAGAGGTCCAGCCACCGGGAGGCGTCCTGACCGTGGTAGCACCGCATTAATGCCTCTGGCCTGGCCTGTTTGTACTGTAAGATCTGACAAGCTGAGTTCTTAAATTTCTTACAGAAATGTGTCATCACACATCAGCTCTTTGTCACTAATGACCTGAACATCCCCATTACCAAGCCTCACAATAACAAAATTTATGCAAAGAAGCAAGAACTTGGAGGGAGAGTTGATGCTTTCATCTCTTCTAGAGCTAGCCACCCTTTCTCTAAGGGATAGCTGAGTTCTGCTCCCCATTTCTCCCACTTCTAGCCATCCATTGAGAAGTGTTTGCATTTCCTGTCAGTATCTGGAAGGCCAGTGCTATCCCTGTGTCATATCAGAAGATATCCCTCGAAGGACTAAAGCCAGTGAAATCCTGCTTCCTGTAGCATGTGGTAACTAAGACATGACCTCTACCCTCAAGATCACTCAGTATCCTGGGAAAGTACAAAGACTGATTGTTCACAATACAGCATAAAACTGAGGCTGAGTGCAAACATACAGGAGCCCATAGGAGACCAAACCCTATGGTCCTGGCTTCAGTAATTCTTTGTTTGGGAGCAGGACCTAGATGACTCTTTAATAGCAGAAACTCTGTGCTTCCAGTGCCCACCACAGGCTCACCACATACATATTATACATATTTTAGGCTAAATAAATGAATCATTATCTTTTGAGTCAATTCAATATCACACTCTTGGAAAAACAGGACAATAGCAGAATCCAACCAAGTTGTAAGTAGGTGAAACCTGGGCTCTTGTCACCTCCCTAAATTTTTCCTCTCATCATTTTTTTCTTTTTAGTTGATGTAAAACATACCACAATATAAAAATAACCATTAAAGTATGTAAACGGTATTATTTAGTTGTATAATTAACATTACTCTATAGTTTCAAAATATTTTTATTACCTCAACAAACAGTCTTATCCATTAAGGAATTATTCCCCAGTCCCTCTTTAGCTCTTCTGTCCACCCCTGCTTAACCATGAATCTGTTTTCTTATCCTATTGATTTGCCTATCCTGGATATTTCAATAGATAAAGAGTGCTTCTTTCACAGGGCATATTTTGGAGGTTCATCCATGTTGCAGTATGCATCAGGACTTGGGGGGGTGGGGCTGAGTGACATTCCTTTGCTTAACTGTAAATCCATTGATGGACAGTTGGGCTGTGTCTACTCTTCATTATAATGAATGATCCTGTTGAAACATTTCCATGCAAGCTTCTGTTTGGACATATGCTTTCTTTTCTCTTGAGTCTATTCCTTGGAATAGAATTGCTGGGTGGTTGTATGGGAGCTCTTGACTTTTCCCACAGCAATTTTAGCACTCAACTCTCCAATATTTCCATCAATGTTATGATTACATCAGGTGATATTTACAATAGGCCAAGCACTATGTTTCAAATCAACATTATGAAATTGATGTCATCATTGTCCTCACTTCAAAGAAGAAAACCTCACATCACAGTAACTTGTCCAGAATCATCCTGGCAGGAAATGAAGTCTGTGTGCAGGTAGAAGAGTAGAGGTAAAGGCAGAAGATGTGTAGGACATCTCTGTTTAGGGGTGTGTTGTGGAATTTAGTTTAAGATGTGTTACAATTGTTTATGCTGTAGAATATTTGTTTAATCATGTAAAGATGTGTTGCATTCTTTCATGTTTCATTTGTTTAACTCTGTGAAGCTGTGTTACTTTGCCTGCCTAAAATACCTAATAGGTCTATTAAAGAGATTAACAGCCAATAGCTGGGCAAGAGAAGGATAGTAGGGCTGCCAGGCAGAGCAAATAAATAGAAGGCGAAAAGAGAAGAGGAGTGAAAAAAGGAGAAGGAGAGAAGGATACCAGGGGCCAGTCACCCAGCCACACAGCCAGCTATGGAGTAAGAAATAAAGAAAGATATATAGAATAGAAAAAGATAAAAGTCTGGAGGCACAAGGTAGACAGGATAATTTAAGACAAGCTGGCTAAAACAAGTCAAGCTAAGGCTGAGCATTCATAAGTAAGAGTAAGTCTCCATGTGATTATTTGGGAGCTAGGCCCCTAAAGAGCAAAGAGTTTAAAAAAATAATAGAAGAGGACCCTGAATTAAGTCTTGAATACTATGTGAGTATATGCCATTAGCTGTGGATGAAGCCCACGGTCTCTCAGGAACAGAGAGATGAGTCAACAAGCAGAAGCACTAATGCTTGTGAAAATCTTATGACCTGGGATCAGCCTGAGATGAAGGAATGGATGGAATGACTGCCTCCTGTGGGCACAGCAGGTCATATTGCTTTTTCTTGCATTCTCTGCTGGATGAGGTACATTTTAAAGGCCCACTAGACATGATGAGAAAGATGAGCATAAGACTATCAAGTCCCTAGGAAACAGAGTCACCACCATAGCAATGCTTCTAAAAATCAAAAAGAGTCCCAAGCCAGGGATGGTTGACCAGCCCTGTAATCCCAACACTCAGGAAGCCGAGGCAGGAAGTTACTGCAAGTTTAAAGTCAAACCTTGTTTCAGGGGAGGAAAAAAGGAAACAATGCTAGAGAGGAGACAAGTTTTGAAGAATTTTCCACCTGGGTAATTGTAAGTGCAGCTGTAATGCACTTGGGAAGAAGTATTGCTTGAGGAGTGACTAGGAAATGAGGGTTTCCCAAGGAAGTTATGAAGGTATGATCCAATTAACAGGGTTTGGCTGGAGGAGGATTCTTGATGCTCTTGATACTCTTTGATGTTCTTGCTGCTCTTTGATGTTTTGATGTTCTCTGATGTTCTTGGTACTCTTTGATGTTTTTGATATTCTTTGATGCTCTTGATACTCTTTGATGCTCTTTGATGCTCTTGATACTCTTTGGTGCTTTTGATGCTCTTTGATGCTCTTTGATGTTCTTTGATGCTCTTGATACTCTTTGGTGCTTTTGATACTCTACTCTTTGATGCTTTTGATGCTCTTGATACTCTTTGATGTTCTTGCTGCTCTTTGATGTTTTGATGTTCTCTGATGTTCTTGATGCTCTTGATACTCTTTGATGCTCTTTTATGTTCTTTGGTGTTCTCTAATGTTCTTGATGCTCTTTGATGCTCTTTGATGCTCTTGATGCTCTTTGATGCTCTGGGTGCTCTTGAGTTGCCAAAGAGATGACTATATGGCTGGAGAGTAGGCAGTGAGGAGAGAAGTGGCTTAACAAGGCTGAGATAGAACCTAGTGCAAATCAAGCTATATTTCCGGATCACAAGAATCTGACATGTAAAGGTGCAGAGACATCAATAGAATGTTTCGGTTATCCCTGAATGTCTCCATGGAATTGTCTGGTTTTTCAGAAATGTAGAGTGGCTTTTGTGAGACTGGTTCAAGGACTAGGTCACTAGTAGTCATCTAAGGCTCAGCCTAAAGTGGTGACTGTGGGAAGAGCTTAGTGATGCTCAAGAAAGGCAATGTCAATGTGATAATGAATGGACATGAGAGGAGGAAATCAATACACCGAGTCTTAACTGTGATATCTAGCTGTGTCCCCCAAAGTTACAAGTTAGAACATTAATTCCCAGAGCAATGGTGCTGGAAGTTGTGGGGTCATGTGAGTTTTGTACTCACAAATGGATGCATGAATTATTGCCAAAGTGAGCTGAAGATCACAGAGTGGGCTCCCCCTGCCACTGGCCTGTCTCACATGTTCGCTCTGTGTCATAGAAAGATATAGTAGAAATGCCCTTGCCAGTTGCCAACATTTTAATATGGGACTTCCAGGCTTCCATGACTATAGGGAATGGATTTCTTTTCTTAAAAACTTACCAAGTTTGAGAAATTCTGTTATGGCAACTGAATACACACTAATCCAGCTGAGGCTACTAGTACCAGAACCTCCAATTTCCAGACAAACAAACCTTTGGAAAGCTAAGTGACCAAGTAGTTAAAATGTGAGGTTCCCAACCCTTCTGATACTTAAGCCGTCATTATTTCAGGTACATACCAAGTGACTCATCCGAAGGCTGTCATTACCTCACAGAAAACCCATGGCCTGACTTCACATGTTTTAAATGCCAGCACACCATGGCAAAAGCCATATAATGAGAAGGCACCAGAGAGAGCGAGTGACATCATGAGCCAAATAGAGTCGCTATTCAAACGTGCACTGTGAACTCCTTACATGATCACCTAATTATAGTTCCTGAGGAAGTGCCGTACAATAACATGCTGTACAGAGGCCAGGGAATACTTGTCAGGGGGCCAGGCAATCCTTTTAACCCAAATTGATATTTGGAAGATAACGGGTAACAAGCTCAATGAGGCACTTGCAGTGGGGCTTTTTGCTGAATAGGTTATCAGTCTTTTATCTGGGTGGTGGGCGCCCAACCCGCTCAATTCATTGAACCACGCCTTTGTAAGACCAGACAAACTAGTATGATTAAAAGTACAGCTGACCTACAGATTTCTCTCCCCATCTCTCAAAGAAAGAGAGCAAAGAGTTCATGGAAATAAATATGTGTTCATCTGGTATGCAGGAAGACACCCACATGCCCATGGCTCCTCTGGTTCACTGATTTGGGCAGGATAAATATCAATTTCTTTCCAAATGTTCTGATTTTAGTAACTAAAATGATGGCTTAGCTCTCTCCACCCCCAAATCTGATGCCAGATATTGAAACTGAATCTCTCCCAGCAGGAGCCAGACTTTTTCACAGCTTTATGTTTCTTTACAGCCAGTGAGTCCTCGGGTTCTCCACCAGCCCCAGGACACTGTCTCTCCGAGCACCGCAGCACCTTGACACAGGGCTTGATTTGAAGCAGGGACCTAACACATGGTCAGTGCAACAGACTGCATGGGAAACCCAGGGGCTTGTGTAAGTAGCATATTCTAATGTTTTCAGAATGGGAGAGACTGGTATTAGGAGGGTCACTCGTGATTGAACTACCATTTAACATTGAACAACAGACAATTTCCAAGTTCTTCAATGAGCAAATTCAAGAGTGGAATTGTACTGGATGTGTTTGTTTCACTCTTATCTCCCTATAGGATTTATTCTTTGTGATTCTTCAGGCCCTCCAACATCTTGCTACATTTTGGATGCTTAAAAACTGTGCAGACTGTGTAACATGGCAATGATATCAGTGCTGTTGTACCAATAAGGCTTTAGAAACTGGCCCCATAAGTATGGAAGACACCTTGGTCATCACCATCATGTGTTGCATTTCACATTGTTGCTGGAACCCTACAAGCCTCAGCTGGGATTCTTCATAACAAGAGCTATTCACGAGGAAAGCCTCACCTGTAGGGGAAAAATAAGGAAGGAACACTGCCTCTGCTTCAAGGAGCCAGGAATCTTCCAGTAGAGTGTGACTTCTCCTCAGTTCCACAGATGAGGAAGACAAAAAGTTAACCCTCCCCCCGCCCCATGGGTAAGACATGGGTTCATCCTGCTGAGTGGGAGGGGAGCACGGTGAAGCCATGGAAAGAGGCCCCACTGAGCTCCACTGTGACTTAGTCACATTTAGTTCCACTTTAGATAAACACAGGAGCAGCAGAGCTGGCTTCCCACAGCCTGTGGAGTCTGGCCAGGCCCGGCCTCTTCTCCTCACCTCACCCCACTCTCCTCAGTGTATCACTTTCTTTCACCCTATCCTTAGCTCCTGCCACCTAGAAATTTTTCTTCAGATGGGAGGACTGGCTCTCAGCCCCCCTCCCTTGTGTAATCAAATATCTCACCCTGAAGACATGCTCAGTCTCCCTGGCCTCCGCTCAGGCCTCCCAGTTTATGGCTAGCTGCCAACCCAGCGCCCGCTAGCTTCTCTTGAGAGCAGAACAAGACTTACCCTGCACACAGAATTTCTTGGAGGAGAAACAGCAGGTGCCTCTCAGGTTGACCCTTGGGTCACACACACACACTGATGAACCACACTGATGATGTCTGTGAAAAAAAAGGCAAAGGGGCTGGGATTTGAAAGGCCAAGTAGATTTCATGGAATTATTATGAATTGCTACCATTATTATTTTAGCTGTATGGCTACTACCTAACTCTGACTACAAAGTATTTGAATATGTCCCTTGTGGCATTCCATGGGGGGGGGGAATCTCATTATTTTAATGGGTTGGAGCTGTAAAAATAAAAAATAATTTCCTGTCTCCCTTAGGCTATAAGTTTTTACATAATCCTCTCTACATTGACCATATTCAGAACCATGCTATTGAAAAGGCAAGACTTTGAAAATAAAAGTTTTTATAAGCTAAATATTGGGGTGAAAAAAAATCAACCTGAACCCAAAGCTGAGGTTGAACCCAACCCTTGCTCATGGTCCCCTCTACATCACTGCTCCATGAGCCAGGAATGGTCTAATCCCTGGGGTCACACACAGATCTATACCCTAAAGGTAAAGGTGATATTCCAAATATTTAACAACCATTATGAAGCAGGGCCAAGACTAGTCAAGGTATGGTGGCTTGTGGCTGTCACCAGAGCAGTCAGGAAATTTGTCACAGATTTGAAACCAGACCGGACTACATAATGAGTACACCCTGGCTAGAAAAGTGAGGGTGGTCAGGGGGAGGTGTGAGGAAATCATAAACTGGATGTTGGACTTCGCACTGCAGCCGGGACCTGGGGCCCCTGTATGTCCAGATGGATCCTTATTACACCCAGATTGTGGAGAAATAGGTAGAGGGGTGCCTTTGAAGAATGGCCTGGGGTATGTGAGACACCCTAGGAGCTCTGAAAGCTATTTACCAACCAGAGCAGAAACAGTTCACCAGCCTCACAGCTTACACACTGGTGCCAGTACATTACCAGCCCTGCCCAAAACGACCAGGCAAGAACAGAAATGAGGAGGCAGACATGACTCAACTCCTGCCCGCCACTGAGAAGAGCTTGTAGTTCTCCCATGAGAAGCTAAAAAGTCTGCACTTCAATTTAGCAAATAACCCATGTGCAAAAATGTCATGTAGGCCAGATCAAATAAGTTTGCAGGAGACCATTTTATTAACTCCGAGGAATACTATGACACCAGTGACAAATGGAGACAAGACCACCTGGACCCACAACAAACCTGGAAACAAAACCCATCAGTTCATTCACAAAGTCCTGCCCCCTTTTCTCTCCACTCCATGGCTTGTGTCCTACTTTGGATCACCTGATGCCTCGCCTATCTGATCACAAGGTTTGTGAACTGGTGGTCTTTTCTGAAGACATGGCCACCTCCAATTGCAGTGACTTATCTCACTCTGAGATGTTGTTTTATTATTTATTGTTGTATCTGCAGAGCCTAGCAAGGCTTGCCATCCAGAGGACACAAAATGACAGTGAAGGGAGGAAAATATTCTTCTATCATATTGAACAGCAGCAACTAATGGCATCATGTGGTCCTGCAACCAAACTTTATTGGCTCCGAACAGAATTTCAATAAACATGAGTATACTCTGTAAATATTTCATGTCATAAAAGTCCCAAACAGAAAATTTCAGGCAATACATGGCCTTTGTACTGACTTCTTTTTTCTACTAGAAATATTGAATATTTTATTAAGCATAAGCAAATAGCTCCAATTACTTAGTAACGTTTTTAGAAAAAATGTTTTTTTTTTTCAGAGCAGGTCTACAGTTATTTGTTTCTTTTTTTAAAGATTTATTTATTTATTATGTATACAGTGTTCTGGCCGCATGTATGCCTGCAAGCCAGAAGAGGGCACCAGATTTCATTACACATGGTTGTGAGTCACCATGTGGATGCTGGGAATTGAACTCAGAACCTTCTGAAGAGCGGCTAGTGCTCTTAACCACTGAGCTATCTCTCCAGCCCTACAGTTGTTTCTTACATAAAATTTAATTGCTGAAAATTCATGTATTTTTTCAGGTGTCAGGAATTATCTTAAACAGAAATGGTCAAGAAGCTACCTAGTCAGTAAAGCTTTGCAAGCATGAGGACCTGAACGTCATCTCTAGAAACCATAATGATTATAGTCAATATTAATTAGTTTATATACTTAAAAGTGGTTAAGATGGTGAATTTTATTATGACTTTATCTTAACAAAAAAGTTGAACGAATACATTTCTAAGAAAACAGGAACTGCCCTCAATGACCCTTCTTCAGAGGAGGAAGCTGGCACCAACAGAAGATAAACAAGGAATGAGACATTGAGAGGAGACCTATTGCCAGTCCATGGCCCAGACTTGGGAACTACACTGAGGGAAAATAGTTTCCTCCTCTCTGGTTTTTATTAACTGACTCTTCAGTAATGCTCACTCATTCAGAATGCCACACAGTCAGAAGGTAGTTTTTCAATGCCTAGGGCTAAGGCTCTGAAAACACACTGACTAGACTCCAGGTCCTAGTGAGTCTACTACCAACATTTGTGGAAGACGAACAGTTGCCTAACAAGATCCACCCTCTCTGAGGCTCACTAACTAATGGCAATACCCATAAGATGAGACAATTATAGGGGAGCCCCATGGTCTGCCTGTAGCCACCTCCTACTTGCCATGCTCTGCTCTGATTGCAAAAGGTTCTGCACCCTCTCTCCCTCTCTCAAGTAGCACTGAAGAAACAGAAGGTAGATGTAGGAGACAGTAAGCCACACTGTTAGAGGCTGGCTACAGGTGTGCCTGACCACAACTGTTAAGGCATGGTCAAGGTGAGGTCAGAATGTCGCAGGATAGGTTTTTTTTTTTTTTTTAAATTTATTTATTAGTTCTAGTTAGGGAACAAGCTTGTTTCACATGTAAGTCCCTTCTCCCTCTCCATCCCCTCACCCTCATCCCTCCTCCCCCACCCCCAGCCTAATCCCCACCCCATCCACCCACCACTCCCCAGGCAGGGTCGGGCCCTCAACGGGGGCTCTGCAACGGCC